GGTAGGCGTTGGGCACCTCAGCCTTTCCCTCATCCCTTCCAACCCAAACCATTCTATGATTCTGACCCTGTACTTTGTGCTACATATAAAAACAATTAAATGTAGCCTAAGATAAGATGCAGGGTGTAGGGTTTTGAATCCATTTAGGGATTGTTCTTACATCCTGCTGTATGCAGATACTCTCTTATTAGTCTTTCATGGCTGAGTAACTTAGGGAAGATTCTTTTAACAAGTTGTTTTCTCAAAATCAAAACTAATGAAACCTAATTAATTATGGATTTGTACATATAGGTCATATAGCTCTTTGAAAGTCATCTTGTAAAAATTTGAATGGCCTGCTTTATCTGCATGCACTTTATCTCTGCTTGGTCTTCAAGATTATTTTTAGACTGATACATTTAAATCTGTATGCCTTATAAACTACTGTTTGACAAAGTGCTTGGGGTTTTTTTTCTCATCCATGTCAATAGTAACTCAAAAGTTTTACCAAATCAGTCCTTCCAGTATCGATTTGTCCATAAGAAATCCCCACATTCACGATGCAGCTCTCCTGGTAACAAATAGGCTGATTGGCTAGGCTGCTGCTACCAGGTGTATTGCTTCATGGTGAACATCTGTTGACATTTTTCCATAGCCAACAGATTCTGTATCTTCGATTTGTCATTCAGTACTCTTTTTCCTGCATTCATTGGAAGAAATGAACTGCTTTTATGTTTTAAGGGGTTGAAATTCAGCAATGGTTTATATGCTATTACAGTGAGCTAGTATCATCAGTTTTCCCTTGTAGCACTTACAGATACAAGATTTACAGACCAAGATGAAAAATCCCAGTAAACAGATTGAAATTTACTCTCAAATTGAAGATACTATTTCCATACCTTAACTGTGAGTTAGATACATAAATATTCTGAGATTTGATATATCTTCTACCTATCTCCCTGGTTACCAAAGCTGAAGGAAATCTCTATTTTCTTTCCTTCTTCATCCCTGTTCTTCTGGGAATAGTGGTGGGAACATACACATCAACTTAAAAGCACTTAGGAATCTGTCTCAAATATATCCCTTTTAGGAAAGGTAATGCCCCTTGATGCTCCACTTCTTTCTGTTAATAAAATCACTGTACACTTTTGTTGGCTACTCTAGAATAATAACATTTATGTGTGGTGTAATTTTATTCTTACAAAGGAAAACTGTTCTGAAATAAATGAGGTTTGTACTACATAATGGAGTATGCCCTCTCAGAGCCTTCCTGACTGGTCTTAATTTCTGCTGCCTTCTGAATTTTCTGGAAACTCTTGAGACAGTACAATTGGTATTTAAAAATTTTCCTATCAGAATGAATGGTCGATTTCTCATTTTGTCACATTTAAACTGTTTGCTACCAAGTCAAAAAATAAGTTTGGGAAATTGTGGCTTGCTGAGTACTGGTAGTACTTCAGGAATACATACATTTTGATTGAAAATGAAAACTGACAAATTGTTCCAGTGATTAGTTTTACTCATTTTTTGATCCCTACCACATCCCGGATCATGGTTCTCACAGCCTCTTTGTTCACCTAAAAAGTGTAAGCTATCTACTTCTTTCTTGTTCCTGCAGGCATTTTTTTCCAGATATATGTTTTTCTGTCTCTAACAGGGATGCAAAAGTATCCTGTTAGAGCTTCTTGGAAGAAAGTGCCTCCATAGGTTTGCTTATCTTGTCTGTGACATCACCAGTTGGCGTAAGAAAATGTCTAGAATTGACATCGCTGATTTCTATTTCAGTCGGAAACTGGTAGTCTATTTGGCTTGGCAGGGGCTGACATAATGTGTGTGTACAGTCTCTCTTAAACTTTGATGTTCCCCTCACTGAAATTGGAGGAAGTGATAATATTTTTGTGACTCTTGTTTTACCTGAAGTGTTTCTACAAGACAGAGAACGTGAAGTATCATTGCATCATCTTTACATTTGTCTTCACCACAGGAAATGAAAAGATTGTTTAGAAGAGCAATATATGTAAAGGTGTTGATCAAATTTTCCAGGACAGACTGCAAATGCTAGTACTTGGTACAGCATGGAGTACAGAGAAGACTCTTACCCCCTGAGACTTTCTATATATAGAAATATGCAGGAAGAATATTTCTAGCAGAAAGATTTTGTTCAAATATCTAATGATGGGAGAAGCCAGAAATCTGACCAGTCTTACATACTTCCATTTCCACATTAGAGAATTTGAGTGGAGTTAGGGGGTGAGAGAATATAATATTAGTTCCGATAGGACACTTTAAATTGTCTTTAGTGTTAATTTTTGAAGTAGTAGCTCTAATTAAGATAAAGTACCTGTCTTAATGGAACAATGGAGAGAGCTCAGTATGTGATTAACTGGGCGCGGGTGATTAATGATCATACTTAGAAGTTACTTCAGTTCCTGTAGTGTTTCGATAATCTGCTCTAGTTTAAGTTCTGTAACTGGAGACTGTGATAATGATAAAGTTCACACGAGGTATTTAGGCGCAGGATCAGGCATACTAATGTGATGTGCTTCTGGGAGAGAAAGCCCTTTTCAGGCTATATTCTATGTCCAGTTCTTGCAGGGAAGTATGAAAAGAAATTATTTTTCTTCTTGTGTCCCTCAGTTTTTGGAAAGTCATTTGTGGATCAAATAGGATGGTAAACTTTGCTAATAGTAGATAGCTGTTACTGTCAATTTTTTTCGACAGTGAAGGCTTCTCCTGTTCCCAAAAAGGAGCTATTTCTAGCAGTTCAGCAGGCAATTACAGGCAATTCCCATGCTTAATTCCTCTAGTTTACTTTTATTTGGATAAATAAATACTTGTAGTTTTATCCTTCTTTAAGTCTGTCTGAATAAACAGAGTGGGTGTGTTAGATAAACACATGTAAATACAATACTGCTCCAAGAGAAATATCCAGCACACACAAAATAGACTTTATAAAGTTGAATTCTTTCTGATTCTGCTTTCAGAAATAAGAAATACCAATTTCTAATCTGAATTTAGAGGAGCGACAAAAGAATATAAGAAAGTATGATCTACCAGCCAAGGAATAATATGAGAAATATGTGAAATGTTACTGAAACCTTCTCAGTGGCTCCACTTCCCTGAATAGTGTATGTGAATTTTGTTTTTTTCTAGGTAGTAAGTAATGGCACGGGGTTGTTTTGGTTTGGGTTTTTTCCCCCTGTTGTTTATTAAATAAAATGTAGACATGGTTTCTTTAGGTTGCTTTGGGGATTATATTCTCTAAAGAATTAAGTGTGGTTCAAGATGGCTTATTTTACAGTGTAACTGGAGCAGTAATTGCATGCCCAAAATTTAAGGACAATAAAACTGACTCAGGTGCGGTCAGACTCTACTCCAAAGAGTTTACTAGGTGAGCTACATGGTATGCAAAGGGCATGGTACGTGAGCCTACCTAGCTGGGAATAGCCCAGGAAATACATGTACAAATAACTATAGTCATTCAAAATGGGTAAGAACCCTCACTGAAAGCAAGTAATGGAAGTGGCTGAAAATTCAAAGCTCCAGTTTGCCAAATCCTCTGCAGGACTGATATTAAGCATGTGCCATTATGGTGGAGTTAATGTAACTTTGAAGTAATTTGATACGGGATTTCTAAACACAGATGAACAAGGTATGTGCCTATATTTAAGCATGTACTCAAGTTTTTAAGTGACATAGGTTCAGCACAGTCTTTTTGTTCCATTTTTGGAAAGTTATTAGCACAATGGAGTGTCTGTGGTGAGAATTCCTGGCTGTGAACCCAGCACAAGTAAGTGCTTTGCTGGTCTGGAAGGGGCTGATGACTTAGGGGACTCAGAGCTTCGACCACAGTGGTGAATTCACACAGAAAAAATGCTCAAGCATGACAGCTCATGTGAGATTACAATATCATGTAAAAAGCTCACAAATTAATGTAGACATAAAGAAAAAAGTAATTAATTATTCATGACCTGTTATGTTACTGTTTATCATGTGTGTTTATTAGAATGCCATGACACGAATCGCAAGTGGTGTTACAATGATGTTTTAAGAACTGTTTGCTTTTAAGAAAACTGACAACTAGGCAACCAAAAACGATCGCGGTATCCAGGGGCTGGAACATTAGGCAGGGTCTTCTGAATAAAACTTGAAAAGCTGAGGCATGGATTTAGGGTATTTTCTTCTATGAAACGCC